AATTATTTTATTTTATTTATTTATTTTAAAATTTTTTTAGCCAAATAGGATGGCCTCAAAAACCTCCCGGTATGATGGGGGCTCATGTGCCAGGCTGACATCTGTGTGAATTCCCCTCCTGTAATGCCTGTGAATGACAACGAAGGCAGGCACGGCCATCTGGAAGAGAAAAAAAACCTCTCTGCGAGCCAGAAGAGGTAAAGAAGATGGAGTTTATGGAAATAATATGAAATCATGAATGGAAGCCCTGGCACAGCATCTTTACTGTCTCGCAGTAAATGATAATGCGTTAATGCAGTCCTGCTGGGTGGTGTGATCATATTTTTCTCTCTGCTGTAACACTCGCCCCATCTAATTCACCCTCCAGAGTGCACGTAATGTCCTTACAGCTCGCAAATTAAATAAGCTGTTTTTTCCAAGGCACCGAGCACAGCAGGTGTGTAAATACAGCTTTATTTGGCACCCAGATGTGACACCAGGGCATCAACCTGGAGTCTATACAACTGCACTGACTCAACCAGCCTGCGGTCACTGCCCCTCTAGAGCAGAAATGACCACAGTTCATGTCTCTCATACTCATCAACATCTGACAAATGAATAATTCAATTAAAACATTGGTACTTCCCAGTGACCATTGCTTTTTAAGCCTTTTTTTCTGTCAGTTTAGCTTCATGCTGAGACAGAGAAGTGTGGCGTGGGGCTACATAACCAACATGCAAACACGTAAATCAGTGCAGAGGTTTGGGAGAGATCCATCATCAGTGAATGATGGGGGTTGCTCAACAGGAACAGGACTGAAAAACTCGATTCTGAAGCTGAATACAGAGGCCATCTGCAGGTTGCACCAGAGATGGGTCCATCTGCCTTCTTTACGATTACGCATTGTGATTATGCATCTTGCTTAATGAGGGCAGGTACTGTGTCACCAGCATCCTGCCCAACTCCTAAACCTCTTGTCGGTTTCTGAGACCCTTTGCTAATGGAGAAGGGTTAGGGAGGCACCATCTGATTAGAGGCTGGACCATAGTTGTCCTTCATTCAGCACTTTGACTCTCTTTAACAAAACAAATTGGAAATGGACGGAAGTTTTGCCTTGTTTTGTCTTGCTTCTAGTCAAAACCCACTTCGCCTCCAGCTGCACCTGCTTTGCACCAGGGTTTTCCTGCCCTGACCTCAAGCTGCATCTCACAGGCCTCACTCAGGTTCTTCAGGCTTCCTGTTTTTCTCCTAAAAGCTTTCATTTCAGCAGCAAACCATTTCCTGTCCTACGTCTCCTTGTGACTGACATCCCGCACTTTATCCTCAGCGAGACGTGGCTGGTAAAGTCTTTGAGTGCTCTTCCTCCTGCTACCGCCCTCTTCCTCGCAGGCAGTTCTTGGGGGTGGGTGATGTGCACCTCTGCCAAAATTTCAGGAAGATTTCATGGAGATGTTTAAGCCTTTCAGGTTGTCTCTAGAAAATGGGGGGGTGGCTCTGCTACCGACAGCTTTGCAATTGCCTTCGTGGAAAGAATTGTGCTTTCTGCATTAACTGATCGGGGAGCAGCGAGCCCTCTATTACTTTGGCTTTCAATCATTTTGCTGCAGCCGCTGCTCAAGCGCTGTTATAAACGAATTCGTGAGTTCGAAGGCAATAACAGTGCAAATGGCCAGGTCTCGGGCTGCCATCCTGCCCGCCCCTGCCGTTAGAGACTGAAAAGCTGACAGGGATGGAGAAACCGAATAACCCAGGGAGGGACGGCAGTCACAGCAATGCTATGGTGACAGAACCGTTTTAGCAGCAAATTTATTTCTTTTTTTTGGTCACAGCCATAGTAGAAAAAGTCTGACTAATTGCGGATGTGATTTCAAGCTCGGTAGCTACGTGGCTGAGCCAAAAGCCCCATCACGATGGGGAGGAAGCTGCTGTAAGTTTCATTTATTTCAGTTCATTGCAGAGCCATGCAATAAATTTCAGTAACAATCAATTTCTCTTAGGAAACATTCAAGTGTGTGTTCTAAATATTATTGTTTTCCTACAGTCTGTATTTTTGTTTAGCCTTACCTCTTATGAAAATATTTGCATTAATTGTAACCTTTTAGTTGTAGCCACTTTGCTTATTTCCTTACCACCTAAACCAAAGGCTGTAATGTAGCTGCTGGTGGTTTTGGGGTGTTCATACAGGACACAGAGGACACAAATGACCATCTCTTCCCTGGTGGTGCTGGGTTGGACTTACAGTGGACGTACAGCTCCGGGAGTCTTAGGTCTGACTAGGAAGTTGTGTAAGAACTTTCCATTAATTATACTGTGGGTTAAAAAAGAGTGGTTTGTGAACAACCAATTTTTTCTTGCTAAAAAAACAGATTCTAAGATCATTTAAGCAAAGCCTTTCCTTCTTGCATTGTTTGTGCTTCACAGGAGGTGCTGGTGACCACAAGCATCAGTGGGTGACACGGAGCTATTACGTGCTGCCATATTCAGGTACCACCATGGCTTCTCTCTGGAGCTTGCTGGAAAATGATGTCTTCAACCCGCAGAAGCAACGGCTGCTGGAAACTGTCTGTGTCTGGAAGACGGGGAAGAAGAAGAAGATGTCCATTCTCTGCATCGTGGGTGAGAACCCCGGGGCCGGGAGATGGATTGAGGTGCAAACCCAACTGCTTGCAGCTCTAGGCAGAGAGTTTGATCTCTGATAGCTCTTTTCCTAATTCAGGGGGATAGGGACACTATTTGGGATGCTGTATTTTAAGATTAAATGGAGGAAACCTCAATCCAAAGGTAGGAGCTGTGCCGTGACAGTTGAGTGTGTCAAGAACTGGCAATGAAAACACAAGATTTCTCTTGACCATCGGATGGACAGAGAGAGCTGGGGTCTGCTGGATTGCTCCCTCCACCAATGCAAGATCATTTTGTTTTTACCATTTGCCTCAATTCTGTCATTAGAGGTCAGCAACAAACCACTCTAACATGATACAGCATTACAGTCTCACTCTGTCTCTCCACAGTTTGGGTGAAAGCTTTCACAGTACCCAGACATTTCAGGAGTACGTAGCTGTTTGATCAGGATCCAACAGTGCAAGAGCTTTAGGAAATTCTCCGTCTCCTTTGGTCTATACTTTTCCATCGCCTTTGGTCTGTGCTTTTCCATCTCCTTTGGTCTATGCTTTTCTAGTTGCTCCATCACTTCTTATAAGTTGTCTCCTTTCTGGAGATATCTGGGTTATCTGAATTAGAAGAGCCAGAGTGATGTAGCCAGATGAACCAAGAGGTGACTGTAACCTCATTGGCACTGGAACTGTATTTTTATGGGATATATCTGCGTGAGTATCAGCCAAACATTGTGGTGCTGCTGGGCTCTGTTGTAGGGCCAGCAATGCGGTAGGCAGCCATCATAAATCTCATGGTACCAGGTCGTCCTGTTCTCATCACATTTGGATCTTGCTGAAATATGACTTGTGACTTGTGTAGAGCACAATGGCCTGGTTTAAAACTCATTGAAATTGTTGGGAATCTCTCCATAGACTTCAAAGTACTCTGGATACTTCCTATATGTGGATACTTCCTATATGGAAATACTCAATGACAAGAAAAGCCAGTAGAAACCGTAGCATCTCACTCCATACAGCCACAATGCAAAAGCAGTGTCTGTGTGTCCATCCGCTCATGTCAACCCACTCTGAACTGTTGTGTACTGGGCTAACAATAATTTTGTGCATTCTTTTGATTCTTTTTTTCTCATCAGTGGCTGCCTTCAGGCCAACGCAGCCTTTCCTGGTGAAGGTCAAGGTGGACCGAGGAGAGCAGTACAAGATAGCCTGCAGGTGGCCTTTAGCAGAGCTGAAGATGGTGGATGGCAAGAGTCTCCATCAGGTAGGGCTGATTTTCCTTCTGTGGTGAAAGACAGAAATGATCATGGGAGAGAGATATATGAAGGTAGAAAGACATGGGCCAGGATCCGTTAGGGCTCAGCTCATATGTTTGAGTGGTGGGAAGAGCAGTGGGTTGTATAGGACTGAATCATCCCGAATGATGTGAATTTTGAGGAAACAACCAGCGTTATAGAAATTTAAAAGCCCTCTGCCTTCCCTCTGAGCTGTTTCCTAGAGTGTGGTGCACTGGGGTCCCTCCCTGGATGGCTCCTCCATCAGTGCTTTTGGACCTCTCGTTCCTCTCATCTTTTCCAGGGAGATGTGCCCAGGATGCTGAGGCTGCAGCGATCTCCTCCTCCCAGATTCATCCCTCTCTAAATTAGGAAATGGGCTATGGGTACTGTGTCCTGCATGGCCACAGGGTCCATCAAAATCAGTGGGCAAACCCTCCCTGTTCCTGGGGCAGAGAGGACCTCCTGGAGCTCTTTGCAGTGACCCTTGGAGAGATGGATTGCAAAGCTTTTCTCAGGGCTGCAGCATTTGCAGAACACATTGTCAGGTCCATCTGTCGATCCATGTAGACAAAGCTTCTTGACAGACATTTGCATAGGGTATTTAAAGATTAAATGTAGGCATTTACCAAAAGGAGGATTATAGGGAGCTGGAGTCAGTGTGAGTCTGCGTTTTTAGGGTGACATTAAGGGTTTGGGGAAAGAAAGCATGGACATGATATTCCCTTTCTGCTGCTGGGGCTGGCAGAGGGTCGTTAAAGTTGTTATAATTAGGTTTTTTTATTAACGTGAATGTTCCAGGGGCTTTGGCAAGGTGCCTGGGTTTTCACAAGCATAGAAATAAATGAGAAAAAGAGCAGCTTCCCAGCTCTGTATCCAGGACAAATAAAGTGCATCTGCACAGTGTGTCAGGGAATAAAATCACAGCTGCAGGTTTCCAGGGTGTTCTAGTCCCATGGGTAGGACTGAACTGGTCTCTCATCATCTCACATTTTCTTGTATACAGGAAAATGCAGGCTTTCATCCTGCCTGGGCTTTCTTCTTGCAGATGAGCCTGGCTCCACCAAGACTTCTAAATTGCTTTGGTTCCTGAGGAGTTAGGATTAGAAAGTATCTCCAGGATTTTCAGCCCTTTCCCCCTCTTTTGCTATCCCAATGAGATAAACTGATCACACTTCACCTTAAAGTGTTGGCGTACTTTTGAAACCCTTCCTACTGGGTGGCAAATAGAGAATTTGGTTGTCCTGATGGCTGAAGCCTTCTCGTAACCCCCAATCTGAACTTCTACCCACAACATCTCCATTTGCACTTGTGCTGTGGTTGTCCTTTAGGTTGGTGGTGCTGGGTTGATGGTTGGACTTGATAATCTTAGAGGTGTCTTCCAACCTTAATGATTCTGTGTTAGACAAATCTTCTTTGCAGATGTATTTTTAGGTTGCAGTCAGCTCCCCTATTAACCTTCCTTCTAGCAAGCACAGCAGACTGACCTCTTCATCCCCTCCTCCATGTTGACTCCTTCACTTCATCAGGCCTGGAGTCCTCTTCCTTGCCTCTTCCAGACTGAATTTGTCTTTCTTGAATGCAGGGAGCCAGAATTGTCCATGTTGTTCATAAAATGGGATCTGCCAGCTGAAAGCTACTGCACCAGGTCACCAGGCAGAGGAGAGGCTGAGGCAGAAGCCTGCAGGCAGGACATGTTGGCATGGCTCCGAGTCCCACCATGGAGACCCCAGCACAAGCCAAGCTCCCCAGTGCTCATGTCAGTGCAGTCACAGAATCATAAAATCATGGGTTGGAAAAGAGCTTTAAGATCATTGAGTCCAACCATAACCCATCCACCACTAAACCTTATTCCTAAGCACCTCATCTACACATCTCAATGTCCTTCTTGTAGTGAGGGGCCCAAAACTGCACACAGGATTCAAGGTGTGGCCTCACCAGCACCAAATACAGAGGAAGGATCACAGTCTCTACCTGCATGGCCTGTCCATGGAAATCAAGACCAGAGTCCTCCTCTAACACTCAGCAGCTGAACCCCAGCTACTCCATACACGCAGCAAGGGCTTGATCCTCAGTTCCCTGGCACCAGCAAAGTCCTGACACTGCAAGCCCAGCAGTGCTGAAAGCTCCCTTGACCAAAGCTGTATTAATATTTATGAAGCGATTAATGGATGCCTCCCAGCTTTAATAGCTTCTCGTCAGGCGTGCTGTAAACTACGCATGCTGTAAATTGCTCCCCCAGACATCGCTGCTCTGCAAAGCAGCGCGGGGGCGTGATGGATTGCTTCGGGATGTTCGGAAAGCAGCCCTTGAAGTGTCGTAGGACTATGTCGATCCCCATAAACTCCACATCTGTTATGATGATTGGTATCAATAATTACAAGCGCGGCTCCTAATTTCTCCTGAAGGTGAGATCACGCTGTGCCGCAGAGATAATGAGATGGTGCAGGAGGGAGTTTCTTTCTGCAGGATGTTCCCAATTACATTGTTCCCAATAACCTCTCTTTTTCTCTCCACCCTTATATTGCTTTGAGGCAAGAAATAACCCTCCTGTGTCTGGAGATCCCCCTCCATGAGGTTACATCCTTTGGGCATGGATAGATGTAGAGATATGGACACTTTTAAGGGTGAAAAAAACACAGAGAATGCCAAAGATGGTTTTTTTTTCCAGTGTTATCTCAGGTGACTTTCCCCTGACTTTTCATTGGGTTGGATGAGGACCTGCAATGGGAGACGGGGTGGGTGCTGGGCTTACCTCGAACCCTTAACTCCTTGCCTTAAAGTTCAAGCTTTCTCACCCAGCACATTGTTACACTGCAGAGCTCATTGCCACAGGATGCTGTAGATGCCGACGCTATGAATAAGTAAAAAAAAAGCACATTAGAGGAACTCAGGGACAGAAGGTCCTTCAAGGGCTGTTAAACACAGAGCAGTGGATACAACTCAGCGCGCTGCTCCATCATGGATGGCTAGAGGCTGGCAGGGAATCCTGAAGGCAATATAACCCTGGACTTGCCCTTTAGATGCTTTTTATCCCAAGCATCTGCCATAGGCCGGTGTCAAAATTCATCAGCCTTCACTTCCCAAAACCTGCAGCAAAAGGCAAGGGATGTATTTAATTTGAAACCAGCGTGCTGGACCAGGACACTAGGTTGAGTTGATTGCTTGGTCTGACCCACTATGGTGTCCTGGTGTCCCCTTCTATTTTCAGTGTTTTTATCATGGCTATGATTATTTGCCAAGTGCCATGAGTGTATCTCTCAAATCTTACCCCAGGGAGAGATGTCTACATCTGCAGGACAGAAAAAGCAAAGGTGAATTTGCTGTTCCTTAGAGGAATTGCTTGCTGTTGGCTTGGAAATACAGAGCTGGCCAAAGAATTCCTTGATTGAGAGACTTCAAATCCCAGTGTTTTTCCTTCCAGTGCACAACATGTTTTCAGCTGTTGGCATTAAAATGCACTGCAAAGCCGGTGCTGAGCCCATGCGGTGTGGCATCTAATTGATGTGGTAATTAACTGTTGACACCTAGGCAAGCCTGGAGTTCGATCTGCAATTTGATAAGGTGTACAAGTGGACAGCTCACAGCTTCGATGAGAAGAAAATCTTTATCAGATGCTTGTGGAAGCTGAGCCACCGGTTCCTCGCCAGCTCTGTCACATTTGTGAACATCCCCTCCTGCATGGCAGAAGGTAATTAATGTCCTTGTCACAATCAGAGCAGTTTGGGGTGTTTTTTTGCATCATGACTATCGCTTTAGGAGGTGAATAAATTGCAAAAGGTGAATGTGGATGATGGGAGAGGCCGAGGTGGGTACCAGTGAGAGGGAAGCAGGAAGATCCATGGTTTGTGTATCTGGAGCCATCTGATTTATCTGCTGGCCCTTGCCATGGAGATACAGCAATAGGATGGGCAGAAAAATAGATAGAAATATATTAAATTTAGATAGAAAAATAGACAGTTTATCTTATCTCTAGAGATGCTACCTGCGCTCTAGGGTGGGCAAGCAGTAAATTGTTGGTAATGTCAGACCAGGGGCAGACTCCCTGGTAGCATCCCCCAGCCCTGTATCAATAAATAGAGATATATATGGATGCAAAAATATATTTTACTCTACAACACATAATTATTTGATGAGAAGAAGCCTGTTTATCTCTGAAATTTCTTTCAGCTTTGTGTAACGCACATAGCAACACGCCCCAGCACGCAATCCTAGAGAGGGGAGTAGGTAAAAAAGACAACCAGAGCTCAAATTTAAAATGTCCATTTTGTCCCTCTTCCAAAGCTGATCTTTTTTTCACCCCACACCTTTATTTGCTCCATGCTGTGACCTTGCCCTGACTGAGCAGCAGACTGGGACCACTGGGGTCACGTCAGTTGGACTCAATAGGACCCCTAAGGCTACTATTAGCAGGGCTAATCACAGAATCACAGAATCACAGAATGTTAGGAGTTGGAAGGGACCTCGAAAGATCATCCAGTCCAACCCCCCTGCCAGAGCAGGATCACCCAGACCAGGTCACACAGGAACGCGTCCAGGGGGGTTCTGAATGTCTCCAGACATGTCATAATAAAATGACACAGCTATATGGCTTTGGCCACCTCCACGTCTCCTCCTGTCCATACAGGGAGACAAAGGCCTCAGAAAGAAGGGAAGGACACCGCAGAGACTGAGAGCCAGGAGGAGCTTAGTGCGTACCAGGAGATGACGCCGAGGGAAGCAGCTGATGTGCTGAAGCTGATGGAGGAACACGAGCCCCTTGTGAACAACTCAGTGGCCTTTGCGGAGCAGCTCAGCAATGACCTCCAAGTGCTGGATGAGGTGAGGGAGCCACAGGCTATGGGTCACCCCAAAAGAAGTTTTCTGGCACATCAGGACACGGAACTGTGTCTGGAGGAGGGAGGTAGATGAGGCTGGGTAGCTGCGGGACCTCCTTCACATCATGAAGAAGGTCTCTGTGTCCCACGCAGTGTGAAATTGGGACCATCATTTCTGTAGTCACTAGTGAAGGATAAATTTGTCTTAGGGCGTTGCTTCTGGCCCTCACTGCCAGGTTTTCACTGGTCCAGCATGGCCATCCATGAGCAGAATGTGCAGAAGTGATGGGGATGAGTCCTGCTGCATTGCCACAAGGGCTAACACAAATACATTGAAAATTCCTTTTATTTCAGGTTTGGTTTGGCTTTTTTTTTTAGCTTTTTTAGCACATTGATTACCTCTGAAAAAGGGGAATGAAGAAAATCTGGTTAGGAACGAGTAGGGAGGAAGGGGCTTAAAACGTGTGTAAAAAGTGTGGGGTGATGGAAGAGAAAGGGTGGTCTGTGGATAGGGATGCCTGGAAGGGAAGGAAAGGGCCCACAATGTTCCCTATGGAGGAAAAAACAGCAGCTAAGGAGAAAAATATTAAACACAACTGGAATAAGAGAGATAAAAAGTGAAAGATAAACTGTAGTGGAAACGGCCAGTGGAGAAGGCACACATTATTTTCAGACTAGTGAGCTTTATTTGCTTTATTGGAGTTGCCGTATTTTATTGCACTTCTGCAGAGGATAACTTGTTTCTTTGAGTGCTGGAGCGAAATAATGAGATGGCTGCTTCAAGCATTTATCTTTTACTAATGTACCTGGTGCTAGGATTTTGTGGTAGGTGACTGAAGAATAAAGATTAAAAAATAAGCCAAAGAAAATATCCTAAAACATAAAAGAAACCACAAACCCTAAATCCAGCCTCCTTTAGCTCCAGTTTTTGCTGTATTTCCAAAGTTGTAATATATGCTTGGAAGTGCAGCAGTTAATCTGCAAGACTGAACTCCTGAGGTCTGCTCCTGCTTGCTCCCAGTTCTCCTGGTGCTTTGTGACTCAGTTTCCCAGCTGTGAAATACCCTGGGAGAGCAGCTGATAGATCTGTTAACTTCCCTGAGACGCAAGGCACTGTCGAATACATTGTTTTAATGCCCTCTAATGAATAAATGCCACTTATTGCTAATACAGATTAATTAATGAGATGTTTCCATCTCTAAGGTTTAATCTATGATATTAAGGGTTATTAATACCAGCAAGTTAGCCTGGCACATGCATATATTTCAATGTTTTTCCACACGCCCCAGTGGTAACACCTTGTCCTTCTCTTGCCATACCAACCACCCTCTGCTAACCTGGCTCTTCTGGGGATGGCGAAATGCTGCACCAACAGCAAGAGAGCACTTTTCTGCATCAGAGGGAAGGAAAACACAGCCAGGGCACCTGGGAGGCTGCAGACTCTGATTTTTACATTGGTATTCCTACGTATCTGCAGGATCCCAGCTCCCGCAGTAAAGTTGTCCCCCTTACGGACCGGCGATTCCCTGAGAGTCCTTTCTGCCTTGGTTGCCCGGCCAATGGCACCGGCAATGCTTCACTCCAGGCAGACCCCTGTGAGGCAGTGAAGCCCTAATAAGACAATTTGAAGGCACTGTGGGGACAAGATTGCAGGAGGTTGATGGCTCATAAATTAGGAACGTTTAATAAAGCTGTTCCCCATGTCGTTTCTTCAAAACACTACAACATTTGTCACAGGAGGGTGTAGTCTATGCTTTGCCAGTGGAACTGAAGCCGAGCAAGTCCTTAACACAGGGATTGTGGATGCCCAGCATCTTCTGTTCTTAGGACACAATCCTAATTTAGGACACTGCATAGGTCCATGCCACAGCAACTTGACTTGGGTTGACAAGACTTTGTGTCTCTTCAATCATTTTCCACCACTGAGCTGAGCTCAGGGCACATTGGGGGGTGCAGGTGCTTCTGATGTTCTTCTTCACTTAATGAAAAAGGTGTCAAAATTATCAGAAAAGACAAACTTCTTTAAAAGCTTTTTAACAGAGAGAAAAACAGCAGTTTAGAAGTCTCATGCCTCCCAGACCCATGTCTATTCGTTGTTTTCTTGGATATCCCACACGATGCATGCATCAGTGCATGGTTGCCCTGAAAACGATACAATTAACGTTTGGAAGTGATTAATCTCTAGCTCGTCAGCAGTGATTAACGCAATATATCTCTACCACCCATCAAAACAAATGCCTGAGACCTCCTTAGGCAAATCGTGCCTTCAGTTTCCGTATTAAAGACATAGATATGTGCATGCCTCATGCACAATTTAACTGATTATTAATTCCCCTGGCAGAGCAGCTCGGCTGGGCCATGATGGCCATTGGTGATGATGCCAGGAGCTGTGACAGATTGGCATGGCCGTGGTCATGGTCATGGTGGTGGTCTGTCCCTGCTAAAGCCCTGTTTCTCCCCTCCACAGGCCAACCTCAGGGCCATAATCTCCTCAGAGAATCAGGTGACACAGCTGATGGGCTTCATTGATGAGGCCCTGGCAGAGGTGGCCAGGGTGGAGGAGACCTTGCAGATCTACGATGAGCTGCTGGGAAGCGTGAAGCAGCAGATGGACCACATCCACCGGGAAAACTCCCTGCTGCATCGCATCCTTTCCAATAAGACCAAGCTGATGGATGAGATCCTTTTCCTTACAGTACGTGAATTTGCAGAGATATAAATCTTCAGCCTGTTAAATCTGTTAGAAAAAAAGCTTTCAGTAAGCCTTAAACACTCCAGAAACTATTACCTGCCTGCAAAATCTGCAGAGCTGCTCTGGCCTAGAAATGAGGTACTTGGTTATCCTGATAATCTAAGGATGGCCACACAGCTGGGAGGAACCAGAGGTAAACCAGCATCAGACATGATATGCAGTGCCCTCACTGGGGTTCAGGGTCGACAGAGGGGTCCCTGAAAGTCCTTTTCATGGGCAAGATGAACCTCAAACGATGTAACGCCAAGGACCTTCCAAACGCAGCTCTGCAGTCTTTCACTGTTGGCTTTGGGACCTTCTTACATTCTCAGAGGTTGCTGGGGCAGTGCTTTTGCCCTTGCACCCAAAGCACCAAGATCCTCCCAGCCTTATGCCTCCAAATTCCAGGCATCCCCATGACTGTAGGGTTTCTTGTGAGACACGATTGTCACCAAGGGATGTTGCTTTCTTCCTCCCTTCACTTTATAGCTTTCACTTTATACCTTTGCACTAGGGCACACCGGCTGTCAGGAGTAGATTATAGACATTGCAATAGCCAATCACCAGTACCCAGGAACATACAAGCACAGCACTTAATGAGCAATTAGTGCCAGAACATGACACGCCCTGGTCAAAGTATGCTCCCATCAGCACTGATAACCTCCCATGTAGAGAAACTGAGGCAAATAATACATCTACCATGGGAAAAGCATCCTGGGGACTCCCTGTTGCCCTGGAGAGGCTGCTTGACCAGGGATCCTGTTGCTTCTCTTCCCACTGATGGGATTTTCTCCATTCCCTTTCTCTCCTTTGCTTTCTTTAAGTTTTCTTTAGCTGTTTGTTACTGTGCAAAACCTTGATTTTGGTGGAGACAGAGCAGCATGGTCTTCTTCATGGACACGTGAAATATTAATGATTATTATTATTAATAATCATTATTTCCAGCCAGAAGCATCTCTTCTGGATGGGATGAGGAGGGATGAGAGGGGATGTGCTTGTACCTGTTATTTTCTTTGTTTTCAGACCCACCTGGACCTCAGCAGGGAACATTGTGATGCCTTGGGGGAGGCAGACCTCTCCAGCCCCAGTAGCATGAAAGCCTGCATTGCTGCTGCAGAGGCTTTATCCGCCTGCATGAGCATCCAGATACACCCTGGTGAGTGTTTACATCTGCACACAGCAAAGACACCGGCTCATCCACAGCCTGTCCTGCACCATTCATCGAATCACAGAATTATTTGGGCTGGAAGGGACCTTAATTCTCCTTTTTACCCTCAAGGTTATCGAAAACTGCAGTCTGTAGCCGAGAAGCTAATCATGTTTGAAACGCTCAAGCAGAACTTCGAAAGCTCCTTCATTGGTCACATTACAAGCATCTTCGAGCTGCAGGTGGGCTTTGGTCTTCACATGGGGGCTCAAAATCCTGGGAGATTTGAATATTCTGGTAAAATAATACCAGATAACTCTCCCTACAGAGGTCTTTTCGCGTGCCTTCACCCTGCTGTTGCCCCGCAGCGATCTGGTTAATTTTGCAGGCAAGCAGGAGAAACCCAGCCCAATTCTGAGTCTATCGGGGTCCCTCCCATGACAGTCATTAATCCTCTGCTTGTGTTAAAATGTGCTTAATCCTGAAGACTTTTGCTTCAGATTTTCTTGCTTTACTTTGGGGCTGGTGGTTGTTTGTCTGTTTGTGACATGAAAACCCAGGATAAAAGACAATCCTTTGAGGCTTTGATTAAAATTTTTGCGTGCTCGTCTTGCAGTGTAACACATACAGTGGACAATATCTCCATGAGCAGAAATCTGAAAGAAAAATGTTACTTTTCTAGATTTAATTTCATGGAGAGAAAAGGAGAAACTCCCAAATCCTTAAATCTTTAGCATTTGCTTTCAAGCATTGTCTCTGGGAAGGGAAGTGACTGTCAGGGAGCTGTGAGGGAACTGCAGGGTCTCCATCCTTGGAGATTTTCAGCCTTGCAATTCAAAGGCAATTATGAATCAATTCTTTTCCAGATCTTTTCAAGGCTCTGTTTCATTTGACTCTTTCTGCTGTTTCTGTTGCTTTAGGGTAACGCGCAGGTCCCCATTCTGCCCATTGACAAACTGTCTGCACCAGGCCATGGGCACCACCATCAGGAATTGGTGCCCTATGCCCCACTCATGGCCTGGCTGAGGAGCACCAACCCTGTTCTGTTCTGTGATCTCCCCAAGGTACGGCTGAAATCCTGAACAAACACTGCAAACCATCCACCAGGAACAGATTAGTCAAACCGGTTAATCCAGGATGAGAGCTTGGTTTCACCAAACCCATACCACTCATGAGCTTTAGGCCCTTCTTGGCCACATCTTGTTGGAGCTCTGGGCTTGGCAGAAAGCAGTCTGGGACTTGGTGGCAGACATTGTGTTCAAGGAAAAGGTCTGAAATGCTAAAATTTGGTCTCTTAGGTTTCACCTGGCCATTTCTGTACTCAGTAAGAGTGATAAGCGTTAAATGGATGTGGTTAATCTTGTATTTTATTCCCCACTGCTTTATTTAAAGGGTTGTAGAGAAGGGTCATCTTAAAGTCCTTGACTTCTTCTGTTAATAGAGATGTTGTTAAATAACTGAGATTTATTTTTTATATCACTGAGGCTTGGGTTCTATTTTTCACGCTGGTTTTCACCTTTCTGAAGGTCTTACACACCAAAACTAAAGTGTTTCAGTTGCCATCTACTGAGTTCTGTTTTAAGCAGGCACATGAAGAAAAAGCTATGAAACGGGCACTGAGAGATGAGATACATCAGGGATTTCTGTCTGTTTTCTTTCCAGGTCTATGCCCAGAACCTCGGCAGACTTTATGACCGGGAAATCAGAGCCTTTTTTGAACAAGCCAGAACTTCCTTGTTAGGAAGAAGAAAAGGAAGTGAGTGATTTGCAATTATGACATTTGTGGCACTGAGCAGAGATTTATGTGCAAGCCACCGCCACCTCATCACCCTCTCCTTTCAGGAGCTGTAGAGGGGATAAGGTGTCCCCTCACTTTCACTTCCACAGGCTAAACCCCCCCCAGGTCCCTCAGCCGCTCCACATCATTTGTGTGCTCCAGACCCCTCCCCAGCTCTGTTGCCCTTCTCTGGCCTCACTTCAGCCCCTCAATGTCCTTCTGGGAGTGAGGGGCCCAAAACCGAACACGAGATTTGAGTCTTTTATTTAGCTGTTCCTCAGAGCTGTAGGTTTTGTGCACCTTCCCTTCGCAGGACTCACAGATGATGCACGGGTGACTGATATCATGCCCCAATAAGAGAGGGACACGTGGGACTTCCTGGCTAATGCCTGGTCTGTATTTCATGCAAGAAGAGCTGGTCGCAGACTCCTCAGATGCTCTTCTCCCTGTAAAGAGATGGCACCAAGCCTGTCTCTGAAGACACGAGTGTATTCATGACAATATTTGTGAGAGCAGAATGATTTCATAGTGAGCTGGCTGTGGGGCTGTGTTGTCCCAAGGTGACCATTTCAACAGAAATCACTGCATCTGACTCAAAATGTTCCAGTCAAGTGTTTCTGGAGATAAAAAGAGAAACTGATCTGTCTCCTTGGGAAGTTTTTGATTGCACTGAAGTCACATTTTCCTTCAGCAAAACAAAGCACTGTAATGGAAAGTTCCATGCCAGCTTGGCCCAACCTGAATGTCAAAAACCACTTCTCAGGGTGTGTTTAGCCTATCAAGAGTGCTAGCTCAGCTTCTTCCAGCTCTACACCTACTTCATCACTTGTGTCCAGACCCCAGAGCCAGAGGACAAAGCCTCAGGAAGGAAACAAGGCTGGTGGATCCTGGTGAAAGGATCCCTACACAAGGAGATGATATTGAGATGAGATTGAGAGATGTTGGGTTAGGGTGCACTGCCACCACGCTTTGCTCCCTGGGCTGAGAAGTGGTTTAGGGCAGGTAGAAAGCCCCAGGCTTGGCTGGGGATGCTCAGTCCATCACAAATGTGAGCAGCACATTGAAACTACAGCCACTACATTGTTGTAGAGTGCCATTAGTGGAAATTTTTAGAAAACTGTCCACAGAGCATCCGCCCGCTGCAGAAAGGCACCTTCCCTGGGGCTTGTGGTGTTACCAACTGAAATTCACCCACCCAGCCTTGGAGACCCTGAGGACAAAGCAGGAGGGAGAGCATCACCTCCCTCCAGTTGATGTTGACCTCTTCGTGGCTGAGCTGGTCCAGCAGCACCCTGGCATTGAACACGTGTCCTTCTGTTGAAGGACCTTGGCAGCAATGGGCTCTGAAAGTGAGCATGGCCCCTCCCTGCTGAAATATTTTCTGCAAAAACTGGTTGATCCCAGGCTGTTTTGCAGGGGTTTGGCATTGATGAAGTTCTGCGGGAACTTCATCCAAGGTTTCCCCTGATGTTTCAGCTGCTGCTAGGGCTGAGCCACCACACGGATGAAAGCCCAGGCTGCAAGGACACTTGTCCGATAACATCCTTCATCCCTGCTTTAAAATATCCCCGGCTTGCTTCAGCTCTCCCTGTATCTTTGTTTCTACTGATGGCTGTGGCAGTGAATTTTTAGGTTTGATTCCCTGCCCTCATAAAGGATTTATGTTGATTGCTTCTAAATATAACACTTGATGGTTTATTTCCCTGTTTCAGAATTATAGAAGAGTTTAGAAGGCAAACTCCGAGCTGTTTATAGTTAATTGTGAGCCAATAATTAAGTATTTTCTCCTTATTTTCCCATTCCCTTTTTCAAACTAAAATTTACAGGCTTATAAAAGCCTTTCCTGTTTGCTGTGGGGAGACCTTTTTCCCCCTGACTTTGCCATTTTCCAGCAAGAGAAATTATCATCACCCATTGCATAAGGGTGGGAAAAAGGCTATGAAGCAGCTCATTAATTTTCTCCATGGTTTTGGCAAGGCTGAGGTCATGAGCAGGGCTGTCTGTCATCACTGCTCAGCATCTAGGGCATCCGACAGATCCTCTCCAAAGGTAAAAGCCCTGTAGGGTCAAATAAGGATGTTTTGAGTATTCTGAGAGATGGACTCTGGCCTGACTCACCTAGGACCTCCAGGGTCAGTGGAATGAGACCAATTTTTAGAATTAATTACAAAATAATAGGGATGTTTCCCCACTGATTCCTTTCAGTGAGTATAAGAGTATTTTTTAAAGCACATGTGAAAGAAAATTTTCAACTTTTCCACTTTAGCCAAGCACTCAGTGAAAACACTGTGATGAGAACTGACAGTATTTGAAAAGAATATTAATTTCTAGGTGAATCCTTATAATTTTAAGTGGCCACTTTTTGAAGGAGGAAAAAAAAGCCAACCTCCTCCCCCATCCTGGATATAATTTTATGGCGATTTAGCATCAAAACTAACCACTTACCAACACACCATGCAGGTCTTCAGGAAAGCTTGGAGAAGCCAATGGGGAGCAGGCAGCGATGGAGCTTCCCTGGGAGCAGAGAAGGTCAGGAAGACACGCTGGAAAAAGGCAACGTCGTCAAGGTGAGGTGGTGAGGTTTTCGGAAGGATCTGGGAGTCCCCCAGGGGCTGTGCCAGTGCTGCAACTCATCCCATGGGTTTCTTTGGGATGGGACCATCCCTTGGTCCTTTCTGTAGTGCTGCCTACCTGGAGCAGAAGCAGAGATGTTCTGCACTGTTGACCTGGCTTAGATGTCACTAGAGGTAGACGTGGACATCTACTACGGTGTCCTCGCTGTGTGGCAGAAGGGTTTTCTAACACGTCTGGTGGTTTCCAAGCAGATACTGGAGCAAGTGCTGAGAGAGCTGCAACCCCTTTGCACCGCGGAGCAGCAGTTCATTGAGAAGTTCTTCCAGCTAAGCCAGGAGTCTGCAGAGCTGGAGGTGAGTGTGAGGACCATGTTCTCTCCAGCCCCATCAGCCAGTCCTTCCTCCAGCTTGATACAAGGGACAGTGGGGTGCTGCTTACCTCCATCAGAGGCTCTTGTCCTTCTGCAATGGCCAGTGGTGGGGAAGCTGAAGACCTTCTGATGACAGAGAAAAACTGAATTGAACTTAATTAGTAGCTCCAGCAAAATCACAGGACCTCTAAGCATCAAACACAGGGCTCCAGTAAGAGGCAGCAGAAATGAACCCCACATCTCAAGTTTTCCTCTCTGAGGGAGGGCAGACAAATTGTAATTTCCATCCCACTCTTTCTTACAGGCATCTGTCCCTAAGGGAGGAGAGAGCACAGCATCTCCAGAGGACACTCCTTGCACCAAGCCTCAGAGCCAGTATGTGGGTGATGAGACAGAGCTGGCCGCTCTGACAGGGGCACTATTTGAATTGTCCTACAGGAATCATCTGAGGAATTGATGGAGGGATTTGTTTTTTCACTCTTGATCATCCTTATGTCAACCAAGTGGTCTCAGGATAGCAAAAAACCAGGAGCCCTCATAGCTGGGCACACAGAGAGGCTGATCAGAGGCTACTGGTTCTGCCTCAGAAAGTGAGGGTTATGTTTCATTGAAAACCCTACGTTTTGATTGGTTTTATTTCCTTATTAGCAGTGTCATAAAGTAAAAATATCTTATAAAAGATGCCAGCATAAAAACATTGAAGTTTTTCAGTTGGCTGGCAAAACAGGACATTTCAATGTGGTCCCACAAGCAGAGATGGTGAAGAGTTGAAGGAGGACCCAAGCTCACACAGGCTCCACTGCAATACAAAAAGCTTTGATTCTTCTTCAGCTTTGCCCTTGCCTCTGCAGCTGTCCACTGGGCCAGTGCCCTCCCCATTTAATTGCTTACCTTTTTCATTTTATTTTATTTTATTTTTAAGACTAGAAGAACCTACAACCCAGCTGCTAAGTGAGATCTTCAGCTGCCTGGAACCAGAGCTGAGAGGGTTTCTAGATGTCTGCAATAAGGTCCACCCATTTGGCTGCTTGCAGGTCCTGGTTACCTTGAATGACTCCATCTTTGAAATGTGGGGCTCTTCCTCAGCTCTGCCCTCGTCCTTCCTCAACACTGTCCTGGGCAATGTGCTGCTCCTGGCCAAGAGCAGCTTCAACAAATACATTGTGAGTATCAGTAGGAGTGAGCCCAAGTAGACCTGAGCTTGACCCAAGGAGACCAATTTTGACCTCCTCCAGAATCTTCTAAACTTCTAACATGGTCTTCATTGAAGGCAGTACTGGTTTATACCAGGTTCTGGTTTTGGGAGGACTAGACCCTCATTGCATCAATGATTGCATCTGAGGGAGGTGAGACACAATGAACCTAAGTGCCATCAGAGCTTCCTCTTACCAGGATGGCAAAACCAAAGGGTCTGAGGCAAAACCAATGAGGCTGGGTTCACATCAGACCTGAGAGTACTGCATCTTGTGTGTTATTGCCAGGGGACCTTGTGCAAGGAGATTGAGGAGGCAAAGATGCCCAGCAGGATGAAGGGTGGGATCCTGCCCTCCATCAGCCGCTTTGAGGAGTTTGTGAACTTCTCGGAGGAGGTGTTCAGGACAGCTCAGCGGAGGGGGGAGCTGGACAAAGCGCATCTCAGACTGGCCAGCAGCGTCTTCAGCAGTGGTGAGTATGAGTCTGATGTCAACTTCTCCTTTGCCTCTATGGAAGGGACAGCTTCTCACTACAGATCATAGCATCACTTGGTTTGAAAAGACCTTTAAGATCGAGTCCTACCAAACCAGATTCTTCTTCTTAGAAGGTCTTGGGAGCAGTGGCAGCCAAAGAGTAACTCCCCCCACAACACCAAGGCATGTTGGTAAGGAGAGAGGGGTTGGGAGAGCAAGGTAGGTGGCTTTCAGTAGATCCCTGTGCTGTCCCAGCTGTTTGTCAGTGGAGGGACCCTGCTTCTCAGCTTGGAGAGGACCTAAGGGGCTGCAGAAGGTCCAAGACTGCAAACCATGGGTCATGAGGTGGTGTAGAGAGGTGACTTCTACCTGCAGATGAGCCTGGGGTGAGTGACCCACTGAACAGCAGCTCACAAACACAGCCACCTCTGGGCTCCAACAGTGTCTACAGTGAAGCAGGCGAGATAGGGAACCAAGCTAATGAAGAGGGATCATTATTTGAGTTACAGATAATTATTCCCTCTAGTACTGGGAGAAGTCAGACAGTTCAAATGAGACAGCCTAATGACATGTTTACCACCATAAGTGAGAAGGGCCCCCTCTGTTCTGCATCACAAGGAGCTACTCAAGCTCTCATCCTCTCCAGACCAGCTGCCAAGTGTCTTCTCTCCATACATGATTTGTCCCTTTCTTTTAAGTCAATAGCCTGTCCTCAGCAAACCTGAAGGTCAACACAGACATGGTCATGATGGAAAATTTCCACCACATTCACTGCTTCCTGTGCCAAAAGAAGATCCTCTGCCTGGAGGGCAAGAAGAGGGAAGCCAAGCAAAGGTACAGCGAGCACATGGAGAAATATGTCATCAGGTACCTGGGCCAGCCACTGGAAAAGCTCAACGTGAGTAAAGGATAAACTGACCTGTGCCTGGGTCTCAAAGGGCAGCAGCACTTCCCAAAATTATGAATTAATTGGTGCTCAAATCACTCCTCCCCAAATCCAGTCTGGGATTGTATTAGTGTGTTGTCATATCCCCAGTGCTGTCACACCTTCTCTGTTGGGTTTCACCATGCAGCACAGCCCCACCAGGATGCTCAGCAGTATCAGGTGCTGGTACCAGCTCAGCCCTCAACCTCTCCAGACCCCAGCTCCCAGTTGCGTGCATGCATCTAGCAGATGCTGGTCTCTTTTTGCATGGCTGCCTGGACTAATAACTCTAACACAGCTTCATGCTTCCCAAGAGGCTGCTTCGTTAACCGAGCTAAGAGCATCTGCCTTCATTAACTCAAAAGAGCATCTGGCTTTGCTAACCCCCTTCCTACTGGAGGCAGTGACTGCTCCCAAGAACCTTCCTCACTCTGCTCCTCCTCTCTCCTCGCTGGCCTTAAATGTCTCACAGACAGACATCAGCTTGAATTATTTATAGGGCCTGTTACTTCCAATTTGTTTCCAGTCTTTGCTGTCAAACATCTTACAGGTTTGGCTGGGAGATCAGCTTGGTGTCTCAGGCTACCTGCAGCCCTGCAATGGTAATGGCTTCAAATCCTTCCTCTGTAAAGTAAAGTACAATTTCATTGCTCGCAACACAGCAAAGCAAGTAACATATGAAGGTACTTGGATTGCGTCCTGCTCAGGGATTTATGGTGTCCTGACATGGCCTTCTCCAACAGAGCACAGCTCTTCACGTTTGAGCACAACTCACTGACATCAAGAGAAGCTGCAGAGGGGCCTAAATAATGTAGGAGCCCATTTCTGGTTTTGAAAACAAGTTATAGCTTTTAGGATTGTCTTTCTTTCTGAAAATCCTTGGGATTTAGAGTATTTTTCCATAGCAAAATTACAGTGCAAATACCTAAGACAGCAAACAGATTATTGGGCTGTATGAACAGGTGGGTAGTCAGTAGGTTGAAGGAAGTTATTATTCCCTTTTTTTCAGCCTTGATTAAACCAGATGTGGAATACCACATCCAGCTGCAAAAGACATAGAAAATATGTCAGTACTGAGCTTGTTTTGTGGAGCTACACTGCTCCTGGTGCTTTTCTGAAAGCTGGCTGAGATCTGCATCCCTTGGGGCTGGGCATAGCCCTGGTCTCTCAACCAGCAACCATGCATGGGGTGGGACATGTGTTCTTTTTCAAACCCTTCCCTACAGAACAGCCTTTCCTGCTTTCATACAATATCCTGAGAGAATGGAGAAAACCTGAATTTTGCCTTACAATTCTGCAGATTCTGAGGGCCCCAACCCCACCTCTGGCTCCAAACCATCTGTCGTGAGCAAAACTGTCTGAAGCACCAAGGAACATGGGGGAGTTTTCCATGGAGGGATTTTTCCATAGGTGCTGCAGCCCTTAGAGGGAAGAGAACTGATGAAATTCCCTCTACCCAGCTTTCCTGGAGGATAAACAGCCTCCAGTACTTCATTTCCACTCAATCAGACATGGAAAAGGGGACTGAGGGAAGAAGCCAGGTTTCAGGCCCAGTGCAGGAGCTCACCTTATGGCAGCGTATCAGTGGTTGTGTTCCCTTGCCTTTCCAGCACTTCTTTGAAGGGGTGAAAGCCCGCCTGGCTCAAGGGGTGAAAGAAGAAGAGGTCAGCTTCCAGTTGGCCTACAGCAAGCAGGAGCTGAGGAAGGTCATCGAAAAATACCCTGGAAAAGAAGTAAAAAGAGCCCTTGAGACCCTCTACAGGAAAATCCACAAGTATCTCTCCCCAGAGGAGAATCTTTTGCCGGTAATTGGAGCATGATCTAGGTGTAACACTGATGTTTTGCAGGGTTTGGGACTGCAAAAGTATGTGTAGGTGTCATAGGTGGATGAAGGGAGCTGAGGGTCTGCTTTTCCCTAGGTGGTGTGGCACGCCATAGAGCAGGAGCTTGTACGGCAGTACCAGGAGTTTGAGGATCTGATCCGGCGCTGTTACGCAGGGTCAGGGATTGCCATGGACTTCACCATGGATGACTTGCTAAGCTACTTCAACGTCATCACCCTGTCCAACGTGTAGACACAATCCTCTCTGGATGTCCCTTGGGAGCAGCTCAGGAGCCCTTGTCTGCAACTACCCCTTTAAGGAGCTGAACTCAAACCCCACTCCAAGCTGGATTTTGATATATGGGGGTCCCATCCCAAACTTAATGCCAAAGTGCCAAAGACTTGTCAGTCTTAGACTACATCTCCCTTGTGGGAGTGGAGTTCTCCAAACCAAACCACAGCTTCTCTGCTCCAAGAAACCATTATGCAGCCAGTAAAAAAACCTCCAGAACCTCAAATTTCTGCTAAAGTAAGCACCAGTGTTGTGCTTCTTTAGCAGGCCACATCTCAGTGCAGCTGAATAGTAAAAGCCATCTTCCTTTCAGGAATCGTCTCCTTTTTTTGGTGAATCTACGCTAAAACAAGAGGGTTACAACACACCAAGACACCCAGACACATACAATACTGCTGTACCAAGGTATCAGAACATGCTCCACCAGCTCTTCAGTAGAGACAGATGAAAGTTTAGAGCTATAAATATAAAAAGTTTCATTGCTTTTAGCTAAGAAAGGATTTACTTGCATGCGAACTGGAGTAGAGCAAATGCTACAGTTCTGGAGATCCAATTTGTTTTCTCAAGGAACTGCCTGTTCTTATTTTCTTATGAAGCATCCTATGACAACATCTCATCTCACTGATAAATTTTTGTTGTTGAAAATACAGCCTCTATATCTTATGATGACAATCATGGGCTAACACACTGTCCATTATAACCTTCTCTCTAAAGAAATAAAATAAATTAAAAAATGAAGATCCTGAACTCTTTGTTTCTGTACAAAATGGCCATCAGGTCCATAAGTAACAACACAGGGTCAAAGACCAGGACATCAGTCAATGAGCTGAAGCCCCAACACCAGCATCCCTACACCAAAACTCAGCCATGGAGTTAAGGTCCTGAGAGGATCTTAAATATGCTCCAGGGCCCATGGGTATGGGTGGAAGCCCCAGGTGAAGCTGGTCAGGGGTGTTAAGGCCAACTAGTGCCCTCAAAACCCTGTCAGGCCTCAATGCCAATGGTCCTGTTACTAGCACCTGTGGGAACAACTTTGGGAGTTTTAGTAAAGAAAAGATATTGGGATTTTTCCCAGGAAAATGAGGTTTGGGAGGTCCACCTGCAAACTCTGTCCCTCTGTCTGTCCACCCTATTTTGTTGCTATTGAACCTCTTGATCTGGGTGGACAGGACAGCAGAAACCAACAAATCAGCTCCTGCATGCCTTGTGAAGATCAAGGGCTGACAGAGGGATGGGGTGTCCACATAATATGCTATAAATACATAAATATCCAGATAAAACATCCAGAATATTTTTTTCTGGGATTTTTCAAGCAGCTCTATGCAGTTGGACTTTCAGATCCTTTGGGTCAAGGTACATCAGCAATCAGAGTTCCTGTTTCTAATCTTATTTCCCCTCTGTTCTCCCATGACGTTGCTGCTCTCACAGCTTGGATCCAGGCAGCAGAAAGAGGACGGCCCGAAGGGAACCATCCAGCATCGGCTTGCCCAGCTCTTCATCCTCTCTCACAGGTACTCAGCCTGTTTTTGTAGCCAAATTTGTTGCTGAGGAGCTCATGTTGGAGAGGAGGGTGGTTTTGGTAGGAGGTGGGAGCTGCAGGCTGCGACATGAGGGCTCTGCAATGTGGGAGCACCCAGGAGGACTTTCTGGGTGGAAAGAGCTTTGCAGAGGGACCGATCACATGCATGGTCTATCCTTAGTGCACACAGGTTTTAGTGCGTTGTTTGCTCGGCATCTTGGTGAGCCCTCAGCGAGGTCACCCAGATCTGGCCCCAGCCGGGGGCTCTGGCATGCTCAGGTCCCACCAGAGCAAAGCTAGGGTCTGAGGCCCTTGCAGGGAGGAGGATTTATTGCTTTTGTGCTTGTGCCACCTGCAGGCCAAAGGAAAAACCTGCTTGATCGCCATCCACAGTTCAGTTCACAGCTGCCCGGTCCATTTCCCTGAGTAGCTGGATGCTTCTAACCTTCATGTTCTGGTTTCCAGGCCTGAGATCATGTCCTGGAAGGAAAAGCACATTAGTCCACCTTCATGTTTCATCCAGCACCTGGACCACCTGGTGCTGACTGTGAAGAGCATTGAGGACACTGTGGCATTTTATTCCAAAGTTCTGGGCATGGAGGTGGTGACTTTCAAGGTAACGTGGGGCACAGGCTCGGCTTGGGTCTAGGGGGCCTGGAGCTGCAGTGCTGGTGGATCTGGCACTCATGGATCTCTGATGGAGTCTCTGGGGCACCTCCTTGGGGTGGTGATGGTAGGGTGAGCACAAGCTGCAGTCCATCTGAGTTTCAAGAGTCAAGGTGAGCCAGTGGAAAGTCCAAGCCTGCTGCAGAAGGAGTCAAAGTGACAAGAAAAGAGAAAGGTTATTTGAAAAACAGTTTGTAGGACTGAAGGAAGAGATCCCTCAAAACCACACAACCTCTAAGGATGCTACAGCGAGCCTCAGCTTGTTCTTCAGGTGGGCACAGATAGCAAGTGCCCTGCATATCCACGGGGTCTCAGGCGTCACCTGCCATATGAGCCTGTAGAAACCTCCTCGAGAGTCTGCAAAGAGATGCCAAAATCTCCTTCCTCCCCCTCTTCCCATTACCTCACCTTCCTTCCCACTGCAGTGTCACCTTGCGCATTATCTGTGTGGCTGCCCCATAGGCAGGATGGAGAGTGCCTGAAACAGAAGACGTACAGCATTATGGGTTGGAACCAGCTCCATGTGTCTGTAGGACTTTCTTGAGTCCCTCCACATTTTCAGGGGTGACATGGGAGCCTTGCAGTGGCCAGTTCTTGTCTTGGGTTGCCACTGCGAGAGACCAGAGTTAGCAGGACTCCAGCCAGGTCCCTAGGTCCTTTAGGACTGCAGAGATGAGTGGATCTGAAGGCTTCCAGCCCAGTAAGTCTCATTGCACTTTGATTCTTTTCTCTGGGGACAGGGAAATCGCAAAGCTTTATGTTTTGGCAATCAGAAGTTTAACCTACATGAGGCTGGGAAGGAGTTTGAACCCAAGGCCCGTTGCCCAGTCCCTGGCTCTGCAGACATCTGCCTCATCACACAGCTGCCCCTGGACCAGCTGCTGGATCATCTGGAGGTGAGGAAGGCGCAGGGTGTGCACAGGGCAGGGTGATGCCGGGGGCATGAAGCCAGGGCCCCAAGTGACACTTTCAGGGTCTGTCATTTTGGGGAATGTCAGAATTGCCTCATCCCACAGCTCATGTTTTCAGGGCTGGTGATGAGAATGCCTGAAGTTTTAAATTCCTGCCCTTATATGTCTTTCCAGGCCTGTGGGGTGATCATTGAGGAAGGCCCCGTGGCCAGAACTGGTGCTGTGGGTCCAATAACATCCATCTACTTCCGAGACCCTGATGAGAACCTGATTGAGGTTTCCAAGTACAGCACAGATGTGACTGCAGTCAGTGGTGGGGAACCCTAACCACAACCCGTGCTCCGTGTCCCAGCAGGAGAAAGGATGCAGAGGCCAGGCTTTTGATGGCCAGTTTTGGGTTCAAGCTTTTATTTTGCAAACCTAGGACAAGTCTCAAACCCCAGCCATAAAAGCAGGACTGCATGAACTTTGGGAGCTTTCCCACAGCAGCCTGCTCAACTCTCACCCCTGAGCGTGAATCCTACTTTTATAAACCACTATTGATGGAGACTTCATGGCTACTTCCATTGGGACATTTTTCCCAATGTTTGACACCCCTTTTGCTGCAGTTGAAGCCCCTCATTTCTACACTCTCCTCCATGAACACAAAGAGCCTGTCATTTCTCTCTTCATAATAGACAATTTTACACAGCTGAAGATTTCTGTTTCACTTCTCCTCCATCTGCCTGCTTGGCTTGAGTCGAGGTGGCACTGCTAGCCCTCACACCAAGCCAGTGGTTTAAATCCAGCTGTGATTATTGAAACCCATTTAGGTTGGCCTGGAAACTGGGAACTTGTCCCCGGTGTCAGACACACAAAGCACATAAAGAGCTACAGGGTTCCTGTCCCCCAGGATGGTTAAAAACAGAGATTAGATGGCTGCATAGAGGGGACAGTGTCTAAAGTCAGTGAGTTCATCTGGATTTATACAGGGCTGAGGCGAAAAAAAGCTGCTAAGAAGACGCATCTTTAAGGAAGCAACCTCGTACTGTAGCTGGGAGGGATTTCTCCTCCTTTCCATCCCTGTGCATGAAATTTTCCTGGAGCAGGGGCTCTACCACAGCAGAGCCCGCTCTTGGTCTGACTGATGGCACTCAGTTCCTTGTGGGACTGTCCTCAGTTTTCTTCTTTCTTTAATTATTTAAAAAGTCATTCTTCAATTAATTAAAACCGTAAAACAATAAAGGAGGACTCGGGGTTTTTCAAGGAGAGCAGTTCTCCAGCTGGCCACACTGCGGTAGCAACGTTATCTTCATGGAAACAGTGCTGGACGGCGTGAGAGGACTCTCCTGACCTCTACAGTCAAAATCCTCTCTGAAATGGAAATAATCCCTGAATTGTATTACTTTTTTTTCTTCTGGTGTTTCGAGGGAAATAAAAAATTCTTCGTGGTGCGAAAAAAACCCTGCAAAGCCCTAAAAAATGCAATGCTTCAGGAGGGATCCCCCGGTCAGCGGAGCACCCGCGGTCCCGAGTCCGCGGCTGCTCTCCAGGGTCCTGATGGGACCCGCGGTGGGGTCCTGCCGTAGGAGAAGCCTCACAGCAGCATCCTGCTCCCACCAGCCTTGCCTCAGCTTTCCCCCGCTCTCAACCGATTAGGGCTTCTCCATGCCCAAGTGATCGAGCCAGCGGAGCCCTATTAGTTTCTGGTGTGGGAATGTGGTTATTAATTAATTGCTAACATGAATCCTGCCTGGCTCTGCCCTGCAAGTGTCCTTGCATTCACTGAGATTGCTACCGTAAATATGTTTGTGGAGCAAGGTTTCCTTTTCTTAACTGGAAATGTCACTTATCTTGGAAAAGCAGTAGCTCTTTTCTTATTCATT